TGTCCTCAAATAGTGCCATTCTAAGGTGGCGGGAAACAGGGGCAAAATTGTCCCGATTGAGAATCATTGTTTCTAGGCTGCAAAAAAAAAATCTCCATCTTGTAAAGTGTGCTGTTTGTAAAACTGAACTTGGCGTGTTTGCTGACTTGCTCTGCACTGCAGCCGTAGAGAGATGGCGGAGACGAGGACAAGGCCAGGGAAGGAACGGGTACCATTTGAGAAAACTGTCCTGGGCATCCCGCTGGGCACAGTTCCGGACACACACAGCAAGACAACGCCGCACACCATAATTAAGTGCCAGCCGTCTGTGTGTGGTGAGTGGGGAGGAAATTACATTTCTTTTGGGACAGTCAGGTTGGAAACCAATAAAGTGATGAATTATTGAATGGGATCCTTTTTTTAAATAAACATGTTTTTCTTCTTTCTTTTTCATCAGTCCTGTGGTGAGTAAGAGAAAACAGGTGAAGATTTTACAAAGCACTTCAAATGCTAACTCCCTTTGGTGCACGGACCCCTGGCTGGATGTGTTATTTCCTTCTTGAGTGGTTTTTAAATGCAACTGTTGTTCAGAAAAGGAATTACCATCTTTTCCAACACCTTCTCTTTCATTCTCTCTCTCCTTGGGGGGATGTTTAGGCGGTAAATGAAAGCCTGGGGGGGTGTTGTTAGCAATAATAACCTGAAGTGCCAGAGGGGCCATCTTGTGTTTTGAAAGACCCACATGGCAGTCCGGCACTAACATGGGAGTCTTTCCATCCTGCCTTGCCAAGTGACGGTGCCGAGTTTCACTGGGTGAAATTGACATTTGTTCGGATGGGTGCGTGGGGTATTTCAGAAGAGCAGAGGCAGTTAGGAAAAGCCTTTGAGAGCAAGGTGGCATGGGGTGGCGTGGGTCTCTGAAGACTGACTGGCCTCTCTGGTGAAGTCTACCTCTCCAGCAGTGTTCGGTCCAGCTCAGGATTGCAGGAGGGGTATGGTTTTAGTGGTCCAGGGAGCATGTTTGGAGGTCTCACTATACAGACAAAAAAATGCACCCTTAAAAGCAGAGGCCAGGCTGGCAACATGGAAAGGACCCTTGGAGGAGGAGGGCCATGCAGCCAGGGTACATGGCCCGACTACTCCAAGCCTGGCATTTCTTTAGGTCAGTGCTTTTCAAATGGTTGCCAACTTAAGGAGTTCCCTGGAGGGTTAACTAAGTCTGAAGACAGGGAAGCTGAGCTGTAGGATATGCAGAAATAGGACAGAGGGTCACCCAGTGAAGGACAGGGTGACGAGTGCCAAGGGGAAGCTGAGTAGAAGATGGGCATTCATGGACTTAATCTACAAAGAGGGTTGGAGCTTAGCGAAGCCTCGAAAACATCTAGGGAACTAGAGGGTAGAGTGAGCTATGATTGAACCAAAGAAAGTATCTTCATGCCAGAGAGATTTAATCTTCTCTATATCTTCTAAAAGTAATTCTGGGTGGAGCCCCTTTATGGGAAAGGGAAGAAGGGGAGATCGTGTCACCCTCTCACAACCTGGCTGCCGTGTGTGCCGTGTGTGCCCACAGTGAGCCAGCCTGTCTGCCTGCTTTGAGCAGTGTTCTAAAGAGGCGGATAAGACAGGGAAGGCTAAGACCTGCATTCCTTTGTTAACAGTGACAACAAAAATTCCCTTCAGAGAGGAGTTTCTAGATCACTAACCCAGACCTCCCTCCAACAGTGTATTCGAGGTAGATCCTACTGATAGGATCATGCTTGATGATCAGCAATGTCGCCTCTTGTCCTTTTTTAAGAGGAGTTTTCGCCATTCATTTATGTAACCAAATAATGACAAAAACTGTTTTAGGCTGTTTGGGGAGGGCAGGAAAAATGTTTCAGATCACGTAAGTAGCCCGGTGGTATACTAAATGGCACATGCGTTTGTTGTGTTAGCCTTTCATTGTTGCTTTATGGTTGTTTGCTTTTCCATCTCCAAACAGCAGTAAGCAGCTAACATTTCTGAATATTTACTGTGCCCCCTGGCTGTGTCCTAAAGCTCACCCACTCAACCGACAGCCCCATAATAATGTACATACTATAAGTATTCCTATTCTACCGAGGAACAAACTGAGGACTAGAAAAAAAAAGGGGGGGGGAACTTCCCAAGGCTACCTGACTGGTGACTGGGAAACCAACATTCACCTGAGCAGTGTAGGCCTCAGGACTTCCCTGCCTCCCTGCAGAGACAGAGGCAATTGTTCGAGGCTATGATTTTACAGAGAGGAAGGGTATACTAATAACATATGAACACAGCTTGAGCCTGTCACATTAAAACTGGGTAGTAGAGGCATTGAAAAGCCAAGGAGGAGAAGGCCAGGGAGATGACTTCAAGAGCTGCTGGGCCATTGATGCTGGGCCTTATACAAGTCTTATCCTCAGGCTTGTATAAGGCACGATACAAGGGGCAGAATTGTGCTTGCAGATATACACTGTGGATCTGGAGTTTAAATTAACACACTAAAATAAAGATTGTAGAAGCAAACACAAATCGTAGGTACCTGTTGGGAGGACTTTGCCATGGAATTATCTTTGAGCCAAGCTGCTGCAGTGACTTAGGGGAAGGGCGTGATTTCTGGATACCAGTTGCTCCCTAGGGAAAAGTGAGCACAGCAGGTCACCATGGAAACATGACCTCTGTTGGGGCCCCTGCCTTTTGGGATTTAAGTTTACAGACAGAGGAGGGGCATCAGCAAGAAGCTGCAATGGAGCTGAGAAGGGTAACCCAAGAGCTAGCTCAGGAAAGGGTCTGGCTTTAGGGGGCGGCTTGGCATAGTGTCTAGAAGTTGACCAGCAGACCCCTGAAGCCCTAAAGACTCTGAGCTCTGACTTTCCTTCTTTTCGGGTCATACCAGCCACCCACAAGTTGTCATGGAGTCCACAGTGGTCACTGTACCCTAAGAGCACGCAGGTCTGTGAGGCAAACTTTTCCCTAACATTCGGAAAGTCTGTTCACTTCATGTAGCCTTCCACCTACCTGTTTCTTCCCCAACCCAAACTCACTTCAACACAGTGTATGTGTATTTAGTGTGTGTGTGCCATGGAAAGATGCTTGAAGTGGGGTGTTCGACAAGTTTCATTTTCCTTGAATAGACATGAATACAAATCGTGTCTCATTAGAGCACTGCTGGTGTATGATTTAGGCAATTTTACCATTATCTGCAAAGAGGAGAAATCAAGGCGACATTCAGACATAATTCTGAAATATAAAAGTGGAAGCTGTTTTCATTGTGCTGGCTGTTTTCATTTCTTTATTTATTTTACTTACACTTCTGAAGTAGCACCGGGTACTCAGAGAGTGTTGTCTCCAAAGATTGGTGGAGTTTTCACGGTGGAATGAATTCATGAATTTTACAGTAGCCTTTGGTGTTTTCATTCAATTTTTACACGTGCTTAGTTATTTCTCTTTTATTAAAGATTTATTTTTAGTTGTGTATGTATGTGTCTATCTTTGTAGTAGTATGTGCATCTGTGAGTGCAATGACCGCAGAGGCCAGAAGGGGACATCTGACACCCTGGGACTGGGATAGCAGGCACTTGAGAGCCACTGTGTTGGTGCCGGGAACCAGTACCCTTAACCAGTGAGTGCTCACTGTGATTATTATTTAAATAATTGATATTGATGCTGAGGATTGTCCTTTTACGTGTCCTGCTGGAGGAACACCTATTGAAATCCCTCGTCTTTGGTAGAGTTGGCTTGTCTGTAGTAGAACTACGCCAGCTCTCGAGCTGTTGTTTTTTACATGACTCTCTAATGGAGCCATTTTAGCACTTACCCTTTATGTCCTCTGTGTGCATGACTTCCTGTTGCTGTGACAAAACACCATGACCAAAGGCAGCTTAAGGAGAGAAGAGTTCATTCTGGCTTACGGTCCGAGAGGGGGAGTTTATAATGGTGAGGGAGCCATGGCAGCAGAGGGCTGGAGCTGGAAGCTGATCGCATCTTCAACCACAAACACGAAACAGAGAGTGATCTGGCAGAACTTTCAAAGCCTGCCTGCAGTGAAGTGCTTCCTGCACTGCTCTAACTGCCCCATGATCTCCCCAGACAGTGAAAACAACTTAGGAGCAAGAGTTTAAATACCTGAGCCCACCAGGACCATTCTCATTCAAACACAAAATAATGACTTCTTCTCCTCCTCCTCCTCCTCCTCCTCCTCCTCCTCCTCCTTCTCCTCCTTCCTCCCCCTCTTCCTCCTCCTCCCCCTCTTCCTTCTCCTCCTCCTCTTTCTTCCTCCTTTCCCCCTCCTTCTCTTCTTTCTTCCTCCTCTTCTTCCTTCTCTCCCTCTTCCTCCACCTCCTCCTCCTCCTTCCTCTTCCTCCTCCTCCTCCTTCTCCTCTTTCTTCCTCCTCTTCTTCTTTTAAATTTTGCATGTCTGGGCATTTTTCCTGTTTGTATGTCCATGCAGCATGTATATGCATTTCCCATGAAAGTCGGAAGAAGGCATCAGATCTCCAGAACTAGAATCACAGACAGTTTTGAGCTGTCAAGTATATGTTGGAAACTGAACTCAGGTTCTTTGCAAAATGAGCCAGTACTCTTAATTGCTGAGATATCTTTTTAGTCCCTAACAAACTTAATGACTTTTTAAAAAAATTTTTCATTTATTCTTCTCATTTTGATGAAAGTCCAATTTGTCTTCTTTTTTTCTTTTGTCACTTTTGCTTTTGATATTAAATTTATGATCACCTTGGCCATTCTAAAATCATGAAAATTTACTTCAGTGGTTTATTTATATTTTTTATGGTTTTGATCCTATATTAAATTTGATTAATTTTGAGTGATTTTTTTACATTTAATAGGATATATAAGTCTAGCTTAATACATACTAACTGACCTCAAACCTTTGTTGAAAAGACCAGTTTTTTTTTTTTCTGAAGTGTCTTGGAACCACTATCTAAACCCTTATAATATTTATTCACCAACTAAATAGCTGAGGATCATATCAAAGTCATTGTGGTTCCAATTACAGAACCTGTTTTCTCTTGAGAATAAGACACATTAGGGAAAATCGTAGTGAGGCTGAGCGAGAGCTCAGAGGGTCAGCGTGTGGACTGCTCTTGCCGAGGACCTGAGTTCAGTTCACAGTGCTCATGCTGGGCACCTCACCACCACCTTTAACTCCACTTCCAGGGGCTCTAATGCCCTCTTCTGACTTCCATTGGTACCTGCACTCACATGTGCATACACTCATATATAAAATACACATATGTGCACATCATTAAAAATAAATTTTAAAAGAAAATCATTAAAACCATTGACTGACCTTACTGTTATGTTCTTCTAAAGTATCAGAAACTATGATATAGTCTGTGGAAACTAAGATGTACAAGAAGAATAACAATGTAGCACACTGAAAGCAGTTGAGAAAAACGAACTTTTAATTCTTAATATGGCCCTAAGAAATCCCAGCACCTCCATTTGAGTTTCACACATGGTCAGTGTGGTGCAAGCCTCATGTTTACTTCCCTTGGTGAATTAGTTCACACCCTTGATTAAGATTTTCAGTCTTTTGAAAAGTGTCCCCCTCACTACTGCAAATGCCTCAAAAACAGCATTTATCATGTTGAACTGTAACCAGGTTTCTTTCTCACTAGCTCTCAAGGAGAAAGCTATGTTGATGTGACATCATAAACTAGGCAGCAGCCAGGCACAGGAGACATCCCCCCCCCACACACACACACAGGAAGGCAAGCGAATGTCTAGTTGAGGACTCTAGAGATGGCTCTGCCAGTGCTCTTGCAGAGGGCTGGAGTCTAGCTCCCTCTCACTCATGTCAGGGACAGCTCACACCCTCCCTTAAGGATAACTCCGGGGGACCCGACGCCCTCTTCTGGCCTCTACAGGCCCTGCACTCACACACGCAAACCCGCAGAGACCCACAGACGCATAATTTAAAAAGAATGATAATTGAGATGGAATTTCTTTTTAAAACTTCCTTAAAGTGATCATTTAAAAATCATTCAAAGGACCTCAGGGGGGAAAAAACCCAACCAGAGAAAGCATCAACAAAGAGGACACCCCCTTTTCATAGGTAGCCAGAGGTAACAAATCAGCTCTCATTGCCTCCATCCGATAACAATGGCTTAAAGCAACGAAAAGATGGCGTGTGTGGCCTCCAGCACAGTGGTGCCTAGGACTTCCAAGGAGAACATTGTCTTTGGCCTGGGAAGAAAGATCTTAAAATCAGATTGGAGCCCGATGTGACCCAGATGTCTCAAGTCAGCAAAATCATTTGTCAGAAGAATTCGGCCCCCTCCAACCATGTGGTGGGCTCCCTGCCTTCCTTCTTCCCATGGAAACCCACAAATGATAGAGCTCAGAAAGCACTAAGCTTGGAAAAAGCCCATCGTAAGGGGCAGAGACTCCGCTCAGGAAATTAATTCTCTATGCTCTAGCCGTCACATTCACAGCCCAGCAGCTCCAAGTTCCTTGTGAGAGCCCTGTGGCTGCTGCCGCTTGCTATCCTTGAAACAGTAGAAATATGTGGGCTTCCCAAAGGGCGTGGACACTAAAAGCCTTGGCTCTCCCAGCTCCAGGTTTTCTCTCTCCCTAAGGAAAACTTACATGAAATCCACTGAACAACTGTGGTCTTCAAAGGAATTCTAGGAGAATTCGATCCCTAAGTGAAACAAGCAAAAAGGTTGAAAATAATTACCATGAAAAATAATATCCTACGGAGCTCCCTGGGTGGCCTGCTGTAGCCCGCCACCAGGTAGGAGAAGCCAAAACATTCAGCTTCCTTGGAGCGTCTTGCTCCCAGTAAATATACTGAGAACTTGGATTCATCTGTGTGTTTAAGGAATGGCTCCTTCCAGCCACCACAGGTCCCCATCACAGGCTCCAGTCTCTGCTCTCTCCCTGGCTACTTCCCACTGCAGCTTCACCATCTGGCATACCGGCAGGATAGTGGCAGACACATTTTTGCAGACAGGTTTGGGAAGGCACGTGTCCGTGAGGAGTGTGGCTGGTGAGTGGTTGACCCTTTATCCATGAGACCCTCTGCAAGTCAGGTCACCTCTCTGAGTCTTGGTATTTGTTCTTATTGTCACTGTTCTGATGACCAAATGGGATTTGTTAAGAGCTTACTGTGAGCAACACACTCTGGTAGATGCTATTTAAATTTTCTCAACTCGAGTGGCGATGATGGCCTATAAGACAAGTGTGGCCTGCAACTGTTCATATCAATAAAGTCCTGTTGGAAAGCTGTGCACACTGCTTCATGTGTTCCATGTGGTGATTATATCACAGTGGGGGTGGGAGGCGGAGCTTGGTCGGGACAGTCTAGGCATGAAGCCAAAACATTTTACTTTCCTCATGGTTTGTGTTTGTACCATCTCTAACCCCTAAACTGGAATGTAGGACCTCTTTTCTGCATTATTATTATTATTATTATTATTATTATTACTACTACTACTACTACTATTTTGCTGCATAGTGTTTATAAACATGGTCATTGTTGCCAGTGAGATGACTCAGAGGATCAAGGTGCTCGCCACAAGCCTGATGACCTGAGTTCAATCCCAGGACTCTTATGGTAGCAGGAGAGAATCAGCTCCCTCAAACACCCTCTGACCTCTGCTTGTGAGCCTTGCCAAATGCACCCCCCACAAACAAATGCAAAGTAAATATTAGAAATGTATTTTAATGCATAAAAGAAAAGTTTTCTTTTTCAGGGTTTTCTCTATGCCTTTGTGAACCTAGCTTCATTCTGGAAGAAAAAAAAAACAAAACTATTAACTGTGATGTTCAAGTATATCAATTTTATGAAGAATCAGGGCATAAAATGAGATTTCCACCAGTTTTATTGAGCAATAGCCATGGCCTGGGTAATACCTGATGTAAGATAAACAGTTGTCTGACGTTTGTTTTTTTTTTTTTTTTCTTTTTCCTATTTGGTAAAATCGATACCGTCATTGAAAACTAGGTCGTTTAGTAAATTAGGCAAACTCAGTAAAGCTAGTGAACATGTGTGCCACAAAGCAGGGGCACAGGCTGGTTGGCATTCTCTCCACCCCTTTTGTGAATTCCTTTGTGAAAAATAAATTCCCTGATATCTTACACCCATTGCCTACAAAATTCACCTTTTGTTCCACAGCGTATTGTGTGGGGGAAGTTTAAAACAGCACTGGGATGTCTCTCGTTATCACAGTTTAATGGAGCTAACATTGCTAATTGGAAGTGGGCGTGGCTCAGCGGAGAGTACTTCGTATTGAAGAATAAACTCACAAGTGTCATCACTATGGCAGCCATTTCCCACCCCCCCCCCAAGGTCTTCTAGTTACTTATCTTAGAGGTGGATTAATTTTCGTTCATTTTCTGGTGCTTAGTCATGAGATGTTGTCACTCTCGTGATGTCATTCTTCAAAGTGCTCTGTCCATGTTTCTGATACTGCCGAGCAGTATGAGCTCACAAGTCACGCGCACACACTTGGAAATTATTCTGCTGGAAATGACATTATTGTTCAACAGCAGCAGGCTCTCCAAACCCTTTCAGAAGCGCATGCACACTCATGGAGCAGAGCTCAGTGGTGTGACTAAACTCATTCATTTATTCCTCAAGCCTACTTTGACTCAGAAATTAAGGTACAGAGCCTGTATGCACACACACATACACACGTACACACACAATGTGCACACACATGATCATATGCCCATGTGCACACATGTGCACATATTATGCAATCCAACACATATGCATGTTCGTGCACACACACACACAAATACACAGGCACATACCACACACATGCACACACACACAGAACCTTTGCCTGTATAAGTTCACAGTCTGCTGTGCAGGATTGTAGGAAGACAGTCAGGGATGACGGTAGATTTGAAGGTCAGTGGTAGTATCGGGTGGAACTGGGGTCTCTGGGAGGTCAGACAAGAGTCTGTGAAGACTTTAGTCTTGATATAAAACTGGAAAACTGAGAAGGAACTAAGAAAGATGGATGAAACTAGGAAATGTTAAATGAGACAACCCAGACTCAAAAAGACAAATATTATATACAATCTTGTAGGCAGACCATAACTCCTAATTGCTATGTATGTGTATTTACCCAGAGTGCATACAGCGTAGACCACAGTACTAGGAAGGGACCCGTGAGAGAGGAAGGAGTGTAGCAAATCCCTGGTTTGGAGTCCTTTCCAATTTGCTTGCCGCTGCCAAGAGAGCACAGCAATTTCACATGCAGTTCGTAGCTCCTCCTCTGATGTCAGCAACATAGCCTCAGAAATAAGCCTTGACAGGCCACTGTTAAGAAAACTCTGGATTTTACAAGTTGTTTGGTTCGTCATATTAATAGCCCCTCTCCTGTCCCAGTGTCCAATCCAGGTCCCTGCACGGCATGCAGTTCCTCTGATCCTAGGCAACGCCATAGAAAAGCTCAATATGTCTTCTAAGACACTAAGCTCGGAGAGATGGGAGGAGACAGAACTATTGCTCTAAAAAGTCTTCTTTTTTTAAAGTGTCTATCTATGTGGTGTGTGTGTGTGTGTGTCTGAGTGTGTGTGGGACTCTCTATGACATGTGTGTGAAGGTCAGAGGACAACCTCTGCTGTGGGTCCTTTCTTTCTACCTTGATTAAGACAAGGTCATCTTGTGGTCACTCTGTGCCCTAGACTAGCTGGCCCTCGAGCTCCTGGGGACTCTCCCGTCTCCACCATCCATCTCACCAGTGATTACAGGCATTTGTTCTATACATTTTTCTGGGTTCTAATCTTCAAAATGAGGTCCCTGCTTTTACCCCCTGAGCCATGTCCTCGGTCCCAGGTCTTCCTTCCCCAGTAGAAGATCTTCATAGCCGCTGGGATATAAGTTCCGTTCCTTCATCCTCTCCTGAGGTGGGTGGTTTCCACGAGGAAGGACAGCGCCAGAGTCTGAAGAGGTGAGGCTTGTTTGATGAGCAGCATTATGGGTCTGACTGGTCACAGTTCTTGCAAAGAATGACGCAGGCGAACGACTTCAAACCTCATGCGGACGCAGCCCTTTGGTCCCCTAGCAATCCTTTGTCTGCCAGGGCAGAGGTTCAAGGAAGATCATTATTTGGTACACCTTAGGCTCTGTAAGCCAAACACTAAATTTAATGGGAAAATTACTAAATACTTTCTATGTACCTTTCAAGGGTTCAGTCTCCAAGTGTGTGCTTTGGTGTGGTTTGAGAAAAGAAAAGAAAAAAAAAAAACCACCAAAAACGCAACTTTGATCTGCAGCAGGAATGTAATTTGGGAAAGTATGCAAAATTTGTGATGCCTAAATCTCTTTCCCCTGCCTCCCTTTGTAGACCTGACCTATTGTGCTCTGAAGTCCAGTGTAATTACCGTTCCCTTGCTTGTTCTGATGTGCTCTGAAGTCGTTCCCGAATGATGGCCTCGCTGTGCAGAAAGGGGGATCATGTCTGAGTCTGCACAGACCTGGAATTTCTGGCAAGCAGTCGTCTGTGGTGTACCTCCAAATGAGCATAGAGAGAAACCAGCGTTAGATACAGTGTTGCTTTAGATCTTTTTCTGACTTAGGCATGCCTGTAACTGGAGCACTTGAGAGGCAGAGGCAGGAGAATCGGGACTGCAAGGCTAACCTGGCCTATAAGAGACACTTTCTGAGAAAAATAATAAAAGAAGGAAGGAAGGAAGGAAGGAAGGAAGGAAGGAAGGAAGGAAGGAAGGAAGGAAGGGAGAAGCGAGGGAGGGAGGGAGGGAGGGGGGAGGAAGGGAAAAGGGAGGGAGGAAGAAAGGGAGGGAAACAAAAGGAGGGAGAAGGAGGAAGGAAAGAAAACAGGGAGAGAGACAGAGAGAAACATGACAGATTACTGTTACTGTCTTGGGAAAGAACACGGTACTCAGGGAGGACTTGGCTCACACTTGGACCCAATGCCAGCATGTTCTGACATCAGGAGAAGCCTTTGCCCATTCTGAGCGTCCATCTTGGCTAGTGAGTGTGGCAATAGAGAGAGCATGAAATGCCACGCGCACCTTTAAGAACCAGGATATCTGCTGGGAAAGCAGGAAGCTCAGGTCATTGGTTCTGACACCAAGTGGATTCCCGTGAGAGGGTCTTGAGCCTCATTGCACACATTTATTTGGTAGTTAGTTTCTGGTGCATAGGTATTTAAAGACCCTATCCAGGCAATGGAGATGGCTTAGCGGGAAAAAGACTTGAATTTGGGCAACCAAACACAAGTAAAGCCACATCAAAAGCCAGGCACAGTAGTGTATGCTTGTGATCTCAGTGATGGTGGAGATGCGAGGTGGCGCGAGCAGACCCATGAAAGTTTGCCCGCGATGGTCCTAGCCACCTTGATGAGGTGCTGATCAGTGAGAGAGCCTGTCCCAAACAGTAAGTAGGGGGTGCCTCAGGAGTAACACCTGAGATTGTTCTCTGCTCTAAACCCACATCTCACACACACACACACACACACACACACGCACCTCTGTGCTGCTCTGCCCTTGTTGCGACACCGCCACATACCTGCCACCATCTTCTGAGGCCAAAGGTCCTTTGCAGCTGTTGTGTTGGTTTCCTTTTGTCCCCGTGACAAGCACCTGAGGAGAACTTAAACAGAGGAAATATTTACTCTGTTCCGTGTTAGCCCGTGACCAGCAGGCGGTAGTCCTCCGGGCCTGTGCTGAGGCAGAGCGTCATGGTGGGAGAGGGTGGCAGAGCAGGGTTGCCAGCCTTGTGGCAGGTACCAATGAGAACGACTCTAAAAGTGGCCTTCCTGCTCCTTCTCCTTTGGTTCCAGCCAGGTCATCAGCCCTTTGGGCAGTGCCACCTGCGTTCAGGAAGGGCCTTCGGCTCTGGCTCTTAGGGAGTTATCTGTGGAAATACCATCTCCCATGTACCCACAATCACGCTTTCTTAATCTCATAGGAGTGTCTCCGTGCAATCAAGTTGAGAATCAGGATCTACCAATCACGTCCCTCAAGGGCTATCGTGTGAACTGCCCCTTCAACAGAAGCTGAAAGAGCAAGGATGGTATTGCCCTCTCGAAAATCTCTGTTGCTCATGGATGCATTTGCCTCTTTGTAGGATTTGCGCCTTGAGCAAGTGTTTACTTTACCTTTCAAAAGCCTCTCACCCCCTCCCCCCATAGTACTTGAAAGGCCTGGGACTTAGGACATAACAGTGGATAATAAATAGCTCAATAAATAGCGCCTGGTATCTGCAGCCAATTGTAGTCCACGAAAGAATAAGCCTAGCCTTGCTTATTATCACTTCATGAATATCAGGAATCCCTGGTAGGAAGTCTGATTGAATCCTAATACCATCATCGCAAAGACCACTTTATGGAGATCTTTTCTTTGACCTAATCAACCCTGATTAGCCTTCAACAGTGAGGGAGGGAAATCAGACAGGAGACCCCAAAAAGGGAGAGAATCCCAAATCTCATTTCCCCGACATTGCTGTGACTTATTGCCCAGCCTAGGTTCCTGGTGCCTTCTCTATCTCTGGGATCTAAGTGTGAAGAACAGATAAAAAGCAACACCTTAAAAATTTAGAAGCGACCAGGAGCAGGAGGAAACAGTTTTCAGCGCAGAATTACGTTTGGAGCTGACTTCATTTGTACAATGTCTTGTCCATTTAATGATTTCTAAGGGGAAAGTCACCTACAGTTGCTACTAACCCCTTGTGATTTCCTGGAAGTCAGGAGAACCTCTTCCTTAAAGGCTTTGAGAAAGCCACCATCCGGGAACAGCTGGGGAAACTTGAAACTTTGAACAAATATTTATAGTGCTTAATATGTGGCCAGCCACATGCCGGACACACCCTGACACCGGAGCTCTGCGACTACCTTTGGAGAGACTATAAGCAAGAGGTTGTGGATCGCGACTCTAGCAAGTGGTGACTGAGCCCGGAGTTTAAGCTGAAAGCATGTTATTGAGAGGAACACTTCTTCTCTGTTGAGAGACTGCAGGATATTTTCATATTACTGGCCATGGGAGGGACACTCCTGGAATTTTCATAGTAATAAAAGCCTGCCTCACAAATCACCAAATCAACTGATGACGTCTATATTTCTGGAGTTTCCTACCTCGTCATTCAGCTCTATTACAGAATCTGGTCATTTTTTTAGACTGAGGGCATTGGAAAGTGGTATTGTCATAGTTATTATGGCTCGTGTCCTGGTTTGTTTCAGCTGTCACCTTTACACAACCTAAAGTCACCTTGGAAGGTAGTATTAATGAGGAACTATCTAGATCATGTTGGCATGTGAGCCTGCCTGTAGGGGGTTTATCTTGATTTTGAATTGATAATACCCAGGCCACTATGGGCAGCAGCATTCCCTAGGCTGGCCACTGAGTTATATAAGAGTGAAGAAGGCTGGCAAGGAAGCCAGCATGTAGTGTAGATGCGCTTACTCTCTTTGCTCTTGACTGTGGGTTTGATGTGACTAGCTGATTGTTTCCTGCCTTGACTTCCCTGAAACAGCAGACTGTACATTGGAATTGTGAGTCACATAAACCCTGTCCTCTCTTTCTTGCTTTTTGTCTGGGTGTTTTATTACATGAACGGAAATGAAGCTAGAACAGAAATTTACAATGTTATAGTTATTCTAGCCAAAATATAAGAAGTTGGTGTGTTCTCATTTTCAGACCCTAGTATTTTTTTGGAAGGGCACCACCGTTGCAGGGCATCCTGAAGTGATTCTGTCTGAGGTTGACAGTAAGGACACTCAAGTGTTCTGCATGGGCACTGGTGACCTCCTTGTTGGAAGTCTGCCAACTGCACCTTCATGGTAATGATCAGGTGGCCAACCTGCATCTGGCAAGCCACAGTGAAAGTAGTTCCTTAGTCATCCATAGATTGGAAGGCATGAAGTGTGTTGCGACACTTTCTATATTCTCCTCTTCCTATGTGTGGCACCCTGGAAAATCCTTTACTGCACAATTGATAAGGTCGCAAGCGGAATTTACATGTGAAAGAAGAGAAAGGGCCTAATAAAATGTTATTAGATTCCTTGGTTTTGCTGCCAATGCACTTCTGCTACCTCTAGTCGAAGGAATTTTTGTCTTCGTCTGTTTTGTGTTGCTGTAAGAAAACACCTGGAACTCTGTGCTATAGAGTGATTAAAAAACAAAACAATAATGTATTTCTCGTGGATCTGGAAGTTGAGAAACCTTAGAAGATGAAGGTCATTGCTTCTTCTCATGGCAGAGGAAGATAGGCAAGGGAGTGAAAGCACGGGAAAGGAGGGAGGAATTTAACTTCTCTCTGTCAGAAGCCCACCCCATGGTAGCTGGCAGCTAGCCCACTCCTGGGTTAACAGCACTATTTTATTGAGGGCAGAGCCTCCTGACCCAATCCCCTCTTTAAAGTCCCATTTATCAACATGATTGCACTAAGGATTAAGTCTCAGGCTCCTATTTTTAAGAGAGACATGTCCCAACTGTAATGGGTGAGAAACCAAAGTCTCGTGACTTTGGGGGTCAGAAGGAACCGTGCGTTTACCTAGTTGAGTCTTCGTCTGCAGTTTGAATCTGCAGCACAGCAGCTACACAGGCAGCGCTGGTCCCTAGACTCGTGTGTGATTCTCTTGATGACGGGAAGCTTGCTAACAAAAGACCACAGTCAGGTTTGAAGGGAACTTAAGCTAATAAAACAACATCTAATGCATGATTAATATTTAATAAACAAACAGACCTCCTTAATATAAATAGCTGCTTTTTTCAGTTGCTCACTTAAAGTCTTGCTGTGCTAAGGGCTTAGCTGCGTGACACATACTGACTTACATAATTCACAAGAATTTCAAAGGGCGATCCCATGGCTCCTGTTTCACAGGTAAAGAAGCCAGGGTTTAAGTGAGTCAGCCACAGTGTTCCTTTAGTTTATCCTTAGATACTACCAATGACAGGATCCATGAGACTTTACTTATAGGACAACATGCTTTAGAACATAAGGAAGCAGATTCTGAAAATCAAAGCTGGGTAGTCAACACCAAGCTTTTCAAAGACCCAGTGAGTTTATATTTTGTCTCATTTTTAGAAATAGTTGGGACAAATACAAGACAACTTTTGAAATACAATAATAGTAAAATATAATTAAGACTAGGAGACTAGAATCACAAACTGTAGATCAAACTGAAAACTCTGACCAAATTAAAAATATATTATCCAGGGCTGGTGAGATGGCTCTTTGGCAAAAGAGCTCGTAGATGAGTTTGGCCTCCCAGACCAACATGGCAGAAGGAGTAGTCTGTTTCTGATGTAATCCAACTCTAGGCCCTCACATGCATTTTTATCTGACCAGCTGTAAACTCAGGCTTTACCCAGTTTCCTCCTGAGGTTAGATCATTGCCTAGAGATGTCAAGGAACTTAGGAAAATGAAGTGTGTATGGAAGACTTTTTTGCTACCAACGGGTGCTACTTGGGGGCAGCCGGAGTGGAGGCATGTAGACAGTAGGTTGTAGGGAAAGAGATACAGAGCACCACACCCTGTCTGGCAGATCTCCGTTCCTGTACCTCCCATGTTGGACAGCCTGGAAGATTTTTGATTTCTGTTCTTTGGGAATTTGGGGGGGGGGGGGCAGGTGGCATCGTATAAACTTTCATCATATAAACTTGGCTGTTGGGGATTACTTCAGCATCCAGTCCTACAGAATTCCATGAGGTCAGGGATGATGCTAGGAGTTCTAACCCTGCATCACTTGGCTGTGTCCCCTGGCAACTAGCCTCCAAGCCCTTACGGCTTTCCAGTAGTCACCTGATTAGCAGGAATCCTGGAGTAGGTGACAGGGGCTTGCTACAAGTAGCCAAACGTGTTCTCCTTTTACCTCGATTGCTCTTACCACTAAGGAAACTGAGGATTTTAAAAACTCGATGCCAGGAATGGATGAGGACCAAATAGATGTTATTATTTATTTATCATAGTAGTATATCACTTCTTATTTTAGTACACGTCTCTTATCATCACAGAGCTGTTCTCAATCAGACCTAAAACACTGTTCTTATCAGAAAGGATCTTCAGTAGAGTTTCTGACACCGAGGCCGTTACTCAAGATGACACAGATGAGTGTGGACAACAGGACTCTTCTGTGGCCTAGAGAACCAGTCCGTTCCTTTGGCTGAGATGTGAAGGAACTCTTTATTTATTTATTTATTTATTTATTTATTTATTTATTTATTTATTTGGAAGAATGGGCCTTTGAGCTGAGCTGGACTGAACAGGCCCTGGAAACAGATGGATGAAAGATGCCAGGCAAAACACGATTAAGACGATTTATCTCTTTCTTTGAAATTGTGTGATGTGCCTCAGTTTCCTGTGTCTGTGGTGGACCCACACTCTTGGTGCAAAATAGGAAGTGTAATGGCAAGGTGTTCTTGGATTAGGTCTGAGGAGCCTCGAGCAAGTCAATTACCAGTGTACAGTCTCCTAAGGCACAGGCAGCTCCAAGCACAAACAACACCACAGGGCTCTTTTCCTAAATGAATTTCACTAGTTTTCCCCAGTTAATATTAATAAAACTGAGGTTATATGCTTCTACGCATCAGAGCATACAGATAATAGCATCATGGTATTTTCTAGTTGAAATGGACCCTGGGTACTTTCAGTCCAATGGTCTCACTGGAGAGACAAGGAAATAGAGGTGAAAGAGAGTTGAGAGTAAGGTGCACAGAGCTATATCCAAAGTAGGTCCTGAACCTGGAATCCCTGACAACCAACCCTGAGGAAGACCCATCAGAACTGTCTGCCTTCTTCGTCTTCTGCGCACCCCCCTAAGAAGCACAGTGTAGTAGAGAGACTATTGAGCCAGTCAGTGGAAGAACTGCGGTTTAAACTCCTGAGTGTCTCTGGCCTCTCACTTCATCAGCATCGCATCCATTTCCTAGCGAAAGTGGATGCCTGGTCTTGTTCTACAAAGGAAAGGCAGGACAAAACAGTTTCTGCCACGTTAGCAGCACCGTCGTCCTGTTGAATCGGTTCCAACTTGGACTAGATCCCAGTGATAATGACTCTTGGTGCTCTCTGCCTCTGAACACGTTTACAGACCTCACCGAGCCCACTCCATACTAGACTGTTGCAATAACTACACGGATAATAAATAAACAGACAACAAAGTCCAACCAACGTTGAATGTTTCAGAAAGTCTGGCTCCAAGAATCCCATGGATGCCAAAACCCCCAGGTTCTCTAGGCTCTTCTATAAATTAGGGCGTGGTGCAGGAGTAATCTATGCATGCCTTCCCTGCCTCTGCAACCAGCTCTAGCCTGTTACTTTGTTGCCAGTGCAATGTGGACTTCCTATAAACATGTGTTACATTGTTTGCATAGTGTTTAGGAAGTGATGCCAGGAAGAGGCTTTATCGATACAAATGGACTGGATCCTAAACAGTCTTCCAACTGCAGTTTACTAAACCTCCAGGTGGAGAACCCTTGAATACAAAACTAGTGAACCCTGCCCCTAGCTTCAAGCCTGGCCCTGGGAGGATCCATTAAGCTTGGTTCTCCTATAGTGCACCTGTCTTTGTCCTTGCTGATAGCCAACACCATGTTAAGTCCATCTGTGTCTTTAAGGAACACCAGTCACCCAGAATTCCATATGCTCGGCATATAGAATGATAGTCACTTACCACACCCCTTCCACTGATAAGGTAAGTCAGTCTTCAGAGTTCATTTCCATTTCTCGTCAGCTAGCCAAAACCTCCATTCTCACCGACCCGAAACCTTCTGGACAGAGGACTAATAAATCACATCTCCAGTAGTCCCAGAATAGGTTGGCTTCGATGAAAAACAAACAACAACAACAAAAGAGTGAGGTGAGGGTAGCAACATGAAGGACATTTGCTGTGTTAGGCTGTCACTAGGTCCCCACTGAAACCAAGAAAAATTACAGTCAATCAAACAACATTTTTCAAAACATGACACTACCCTTAAATTTACCCCGAGAGAGAAATGGGGTTGGAAAGTAATATTTGAGGGTACCCCATGCTTCAAACACTCAATATCATAAATGAGTCACATCATTAATTTATAATAGAATAATTGTTTTGTCTCAACAGTCATTTCCCTGGCTCTGACATTAATTTTCTTCTTCATTTTCATCATCTGAACATCCTGGCACTTACGGCACCCCCTACACCGTACCCGAACCTCTCCACTCCCGCAGTAGACACACAAAAGTGATTCCGACGGGTTGGCGCACGAGGGCTGCTGGCTGTCCTTTGTGATCATGAAAGGAACGGGGACAAAGGCAGCTAATATTGATTGCGGTTGACTCTCTGCCAGCACTGCCCTCAGGAGTGTAGCTGGGTGTTTCGTGTAATCTTCCCGCCAACCCTGTAAGGTGTATGGCACCGTTATGCTTATTTTGCCTACGAGGGAACTGAGGAAAGATCAGTGAGGAGCGATCAGTTTTTCGGAAGCAAGGAAAACACCAGCATTGAGTGGGCTTCACGGTCACAGGGTGGACCGAAATGTGCTCGAGTACTATTCCTTTCCTAGAACACCGAAAGTGAGCATTACCTTAAGTGTGCCTAAGGAACAAAAGGCAGGGAAAGTGAAGTGACATACCTCATTGAGATTAAACATGTCTTGAAAAGAGGAATGTGGTGTGTGCTCGCGCATATGTGTGCACACGTGTGTGTGTGAGTGTGTGTGTGTAGCATATATGCACATGTGTGTGATGTACTCAGTTTGGGCACAGGAGGATGTCAGATAATTTACTCTATCACTCTCTCTCATATTCCCTTCAGAAAAGGTTTCTCCCTGAATCTGGAGCCAGGCTGCCATCCAGCATACCCCAGTAATCCCTATGTCTCGGACCCTCACAGCACTGAGGTCACAGGACTGTTTGCACGTGACCACATCTGGCTTTTGATATGAGTGCTGGAGATTCAAATGGAAGCCCTGGTGCTTGCATAGCAAGTGGTTGCCCACCTCCTAAACCCCATGTCTTTTTTTTTTTTTTTTTTTTTTTTTTTTTTTTTNTTTTTTTTTTTTTTTTTTTTTTTTAGTTTTAATCACCAGTCCAGTTAGACTCCCGGTCCACATTACGCTGTTCTGTTTACTCTACATAACATGTCTAACTGGTACCAACCCCAACTCTGTCACTCTTGTGCTACACAGAGGCACTTGCTTAATCTTTCCGAGTGTCAGTTGCAAAACATTGGTCCTAAGAGGCCGGTATTCACAGGGATGGATTGATCCCAGCGTAGAGACAAAGAACTGCTTACACACTAATCCTGAAGACTGCAAGGAAAAGCCGCTTGTTGGGATGCCCGAGATTTGATACACAAAGACTTCATCTTGCTCTCAACCTGTAGGAAGGGAGCCCCAGGTAATTGGACGTCAGAGGGGGAAAAGCCTACATGAAGCCTAATGATAACAATAACCAAGAAAAAAAAAAGGCCACTGTGAAGCAGCTCCATGACACTAAAAGCTCGTTAAGATCTGTGTCCCAGCTATCATCCTCCTAATTGAACAGTTACACAAATAGACGTATGGTACGATCGTGACTCTAATTAAGGCTCCGACCTCAGAATCTAGGAAAAGCCTGTGCATGTCTCCCTCTCCCTTTAAATAGCTGCTTTGGGAGAGCTCTGGGGAAACATAGTGGCCTGTTAGGGCTCCACTGGACCAACGGGGAATCATGTACAATTCTTTCTTTTACGCTATGCATCCCCCTGTCTACATCTTTCTTTTAAAATCTGGAATTGAGATGGTGTGGCAAAAAAGGGGACGTGACGGCTGCTATACTGGCATCTGATGCACCACTCTAACCCCTTTTCTCCAACGTCCTCCACTGTCACCTTGGCCCACAATGCTCCGGGTCTGAGAGTGTTGGCTGCTGTTCCTGAGCTAAGTTCTCTCCTGGTTGGTTCACTCACTTCCTTGATGATTAACTAAATGAGATGAAATATTTAGGGGCTGAGAGGGTGGCTCCATCACTAAGGTGTTTGCTCTGCAAGTGTGAGGATCCAAGTTTAATATGGTGGGGTACATTCCTTGCCTATATATACGCACGAATCCTAGCACTGGGAGGGCAGACGCAGGTGGATCCGTGGAGCTAGAACCAAGCAGCCTAGCTCACTTGGCTAGTTCCAAGTCAGTGAAAGGAAAAGGTAGATAGCAATTAAAAAAACAACATTAGAGTTTGTCCTCTGGCCTTTGCACACATGCATTCGTACATATGTGTGCACAAGTCTTCACAGACGTGTGACTTTGCACACACATAAACATGCATGCACATATGCCCATATAATGAAGTATTTTTCTGGCCTGTATATACACATGCATATCCGTAGAAACTCCGAGTGGAGAATTCTAGCAGACAAACAGTTCTGAGTTCCTCTGAGTGCTTTGTCTTTCCTGTTGCCTTGACCTTCACAGAGAAGGGGATGCTGTTGCCCACAGGAGGTAACCTTGGGAGGAGGAGTGAAAAATATCAAAGGTTGTTTTTGAATAATGGAGAGTCCATTGGGTTAGAGGAATTCTAAAGAGAGGGGTGAACGCGGTCAAATATTTGTACACAGCATATAGTCAGAGTGCCCGCTTCCTCTCACACGCTGGTCCCCTTGATGCTAATGGAAGTCACGATTTTCATCAGCAGGAGCCCAGATAAAACCCCCAGTGCATATAATTTGAACTTGAAGTTGACCACCTCCATGAATTCTTTTTCCTTCCTTCCTAAACAAAGGGCCTATTTTGAGGAGAGTATGACACAGGTACCTAGGAGAGCCTGGTGACCTGGAATTCCTTTAGATCCACTGTCCCCTCACATCTGTGTGGCACAGCTTTCTGCAGGGGACACTTAGATGGAAGAGAACCCAGCACACCAGGAGACGGAAAGTCACATTACATAAAGAAAAAGTCAGTTTAGAGAGAGGCCTCCTCCCCTCTCGGAATTTCAAAAAAGTATTTTTAACACTTTAAAAGTGAAAATTGGTGGCCTTTTGTTGAGCCGTGGAAGAGTCCTCATCTCAACTCTACATACCTATCCTGTCCCCTGATGAGCTCGGACAACCTTCAAAATTACTAAGAACCCAATGGGTCGAACATTCACAAAAGTGTCCTGGAAACCAAAAGCTGTCTTACCAATGTAAGGAGGGGTGTGCAAACACACCCAGATCCTGCTGGTGGGATTCGGTTTACAAAAATCCCGAGAGCCATGACTGACACTAAGCCGCCTCCACTATCTCGCTTTCTTAATAGATGGGTGCACTTTATCAGTTGTGATCTGCATGGGATCCCCTCGCGCAACCTCTAATCCAATAAGGATGTGCATGTGAATGCTATCTCCTATCTTCAGGGTCTGGCCTCATCGCTGACATCCTCAGTAACAGCCAGGAGTCTTTTTCAGAGCTGAAATTGGCACGTGGTTCATAAAGGGACCGCCACAGTATACTTAAGGTCTTCTCTCATCACACTCTGGTTGATGTGACTGTCAGTCCCTGCTGGGACGCCAGAGGCTCAGGGAGATACATTCTAGGACACAGGAGAGGATGATTAGATATTTTCAAAGGTGATGAGGGGAAATAAAAGGAATTCATACAAATCCTCACGGCCCTACACTTCCCCTAGCGCACAGTCAGTGCCCCCAAAGGGGGCAGTTGTTGAAGATATGTATGCAGTTATTTTAAGATTTGACTCTCAAGGATCTTTAGGGATGGCTCAGTAGATAGGAATGATTGACTCTTACTGAGGGCAGCGCTGATCCCAAAGAGCTCACTACCTTCGGTAACAACAGCTCCAAGGGATTCAATGCCCACTTCTGACCTCCATGGAAAGCTGCACACACGTGGCAGTACAGAAACAAATTTAAAAATCCTTAAAAGAGTGGTTCTTAGGTAAAGCATGGTGACTATAATCCCGGTGCTTGAGAGGTGGAGGAAGAAAGATCAGGGAGTCAAACTCAGTTTCAGCAAGATAGCAGGTTCAGGGTCACGCTGGCCTTAGAAGGGACTGCAGGGACTTATTCCTAGATGATACTGGAATGAATGGCAGACGCTTGTTCATATCATAGCTCAGGGAACTTTGCACCCAACAGATGAGGTCTGATAATTGAACATGGGAATAAAATAACTGGCGACATTAAGAGGTTTCTGCAGACGATACGAGCAGAGTTCAGTCCCAAGCCAGCACATATGACCCATGGTCTTTCTGTCAGAGCTTCCTGTGTTACACGTGACCTCATGCAGTCTTGGCTCCTATGTTGTCCCTCATCACACCAGGAAATGCCAGCAAACGCTGCCCAAAACACGTCATCTCAGATTCAGGACTTCTGCTTGTCACGAACTGGCTGGTATTCACTCTACAGAGTCCTCTGCCCTAAAGTAATGTGATGATTGAATTACAAAAAGCAAAGAGTGTAATATTTTCCTATCTTTTTTTCCTCAGCAAAAAAGTATCAGATTAAGTTTATCTTTGGACTGCATTGGATTAGAATGTCTGATTTTAAAAACTGCTGTTGGGTTGCTGACTTGAGTTTCATGGAAAAAATTATTTTGTGAATTTTGCCTTGAGACGAGGACAGAATTTCCCACAATTTCTGAAAAGGGCTTCAACATCCTTTTTGCCCTTTCATGCTGCCTTTTTCTGAGAAGTGATGCTCTCAGCATTGATTATACAATCAAAACAGTGATCACCTCTGAGAAGCACTGGAGATCCTCTGCCCGCCAGCATCCGATGTTCAGCAGCCAGGAGTGAATTCTTTGTGCAAAAACAGACACATTCTTCTCACTAGTATGAAAATTAGCTTTCATCACTAATAAACCATATACTTTTGTATGAATGAAAGAATTACTTTTAGAATAAGCTTGTGATTTAGTATCTATAAATGTTTGATTTGTGTACCTGTTTTTATATTCCTATATAATCCAGGGTTTTGTGACAATTTCTTTGACACAAAGGGGTGATGGGTGGGAAAAGTTTTAAGAACCCCAGCTGAGCATGATAAACTAAGGGTTCCACTTTCATTTCCCCCAAAGGTCTCAATGTTACCCCCAAACCTTTCTGGCCTGTGACTACGGGTGGCTGTTTCATAGTTGAACCTCAGTTCTCTAGAGCGGAACCATGGCTCAGGCTCTGGCTTTCTCTCATACACTAACGAAGAACCCGGCCATCCTATGGGCAAGTGAGGTGGCTCAGCGTGCGATGCTTGCTAATACTGACTCGAATTTCAACCCTGGAATCCACATGGTAAAAGGATAGAACCAACTCCCAAAAGTTGTCTGGCCTTCCCGATGATAAACAAACAAACAAGCAAACAGACAAACCATCTTAATGATGGTTAGCACCATTTTAATGGGCTAGCACACTGCATACCTATTTTGGCTGAATGTAGGGACAGCTACCCTATATTTTTGCCCAAAGGTTTGACTAATATATTTCATTACTGGAAGATGAGGGTTGGCACAGCCTCAAGGGAATCAAGTTTCTCATCACCTTTGTTTTTTGTGTACACACTTAGACTTTCTGTTGATGAGCACGGTATATGCCTACTGTTCCAGAAATGACTGTGCCCTTGCTCTTTTGGTTGTTGACCAGTGACAACAGTCATCAGGCTTAGAGTAGCTTGATCACAGATTCCATTTTCTGTCAGCAGGTGGTTACTGTAACTCCTCTCCCACCTCTCTCTAAATCACTGAATTTACAACACTAAGCTGGTAAACTCAACAGGAAAGACTCAAGACATTTCTGGTCTGCTTGCCAAGTTCCCACGAGGGCCAGCCCATTTGGATGGAACACCCTCAGGTGCCTTGGCACAGCCAGCTCTGTTCCAGGTCCAGGTTCTGAGGTTTCTTTGAAAGTATAGGTGTGGGTGGTAGGTACTTGGAAACAGATTCATGAGTTATGGGGACTTCCTGCCAGGAATCCATGACAGGGCTAAGGACAGAACTGTGGCATTTTTGTTTTCTCAAACTTTGGCCTGTCCAGGAAGAGAAGC